GAGACTTTGGTAATCGGGTTTCTCATTGAATTCATAACCACTGATGAGATCAAAGTATTTGCAGAAGTTTTGAGGCAAACCTGGAAAACAAAAAACGCATTTAAAACACATTCAAAGTGTGGACAAACTTAAGTGAAATACCGGCGCAGAGGTCGGCCAGTGGTGTCTCTTTCATACGTTTGCCAATTTTGCGGATAGTCTTCGGCGACGACAGGTTCTTATCGGCGGCACTCATCCACGGCAGCGATCCTTTGGCCATAAATATCATACAATAGCCCAACGACTCCATATCGTCGCGACGCGAGGGACAGAAACCCGAGTGATAGCCAATGGAGTGAAAGTTGGGGTCGCCGTACGGCAGGAATCGGTAATTAGAGGTGTCCTCAATGTGCTCAACAGTGCCGTCAAGTTTTTGTGTGACAAACTCTTTGGCATCACTTAATCCAATCAGTCTTAGAGTCCAATTGGTCTCACTTTCAATCACAAAGTTTTCGGGTCTTAACGAGCCGTGAATGAAACCCATTGAGTGAATGTTTTCAATGCAGTCAATCATTTGGACGGCGATCGCGAACTGACTCTCAATCGGTTCCATCACTCTTCTAATGGATCTCTTCATTAGAGACAACAGATTTGGTCCAAACTTCTCGAACACTATTAAACCCCAACGAATGCCGTAGTGTTGGTTCTGCCAGTCCTTCCACCTGTCAATGGATCACACAATGAGTTAATTAGTCAAACAAATCATGCATTAAATCAAACCAAATGTAGTCTAAGTAATGGCCAACACTCCGACAGCCCTTCACTTTGCGATAGTTGTGAAGCTCTTGTCTCAGATCATCGAAACCCCTCTCAATGGCCACCTTTACTATCACTTCAGACCCGTTGGACTCGTCACCACTTTTGGCCACTTTGTAGCCGACAAACACCGCCGACCGCTTCCCGACACTCAACGACTCCTTTAGATAATAGCCGAACAGTATGTCTCCGACTCGCGGCGGGAACTTCTCGTACGGCTTCTTCACCGGCGGGTCGGCCGCCACACAGGCGGACACTTCCGGCCAATCGATCTCAACGCGACTCAAACTCATGTTAAACACCAGATTAGAGATATCCAACTCTTGACGCCTCGACTCAGACATTGTCTCCCATTCGGCGAACTCGTCATCGCTGGCCACCCGCTGGCCGTCGTCGCCGTCCACGTCGTGAGCGGAGCCGTCATCGGCGGTGCTTTGCGACCGATAGCCGGCGTCGGAGCCGTTGTCGCGGAACCGCTTCGAGTCGAGTATCGATTCACGTGTTGTGCGACACCTCTTGGATGTGTTGGAAGCGGTGTCCGAAGTGACGGCCATTAGGTATGTGTCAGTGCGGGTAAGCATCGCTGTTGTGGTCAGTGTTGCGGTCATCGAGTGATCCATTGGTTTGCAGTGAATGCCAAACAAAAGCATTCATTCCTTTCAAACCAAACCTCAAGTATTGACTCAAATGTTTGACTCAAATATTGTTTGAAAACTCTTTGAACACTGATTTCTCATTCACTTTTCAACTCCAACCCCAGCACTGCTCGCATACAACGTTACGCCTGAAACCGAGTGGGTGGATTGTATTGATTTGTTCAACGCTAACGCTATTGGCGTTCGCTTACTGTTGGCAATAGTATGGGAACACTGTTTGCGTTTTGCGATTACTTTATACGCGAATAATAGGTGTTTGAAAGCTTAAGTTGAAACTTGAATCATATGATTGAGTGCTAAGCCTTTGAACACAGCGTTAACACAACGTTTGATATGTGAGTCAATGTGTGAATAATTACTGCCAGAGATTTAACACTTAATTGAGTGTTAAATGCAATCAATTATTGGCTATTATTTTCGCTGCCATAGACTGCATGTCTCGTCAGCCCTAATGCCCAGCCATTCACCCTATAATCACAGTTAGACTACACTATAAGCGCATTAATAGGGCTTTAATATAGCATTGAAAGTGCATTTGATTAGCGTTTGAACGCAAAATGCAATCAAATGCTAATAAATGGCACGTTTTTGTGGCTAAAGTTTGTGTCATATTATTTGAGTTAATGCATGCTTTTTAGCCACACTTATGTCATAGTTAGGCCATTATGTGTTATTGTCTAACCTTATGGTCAATTTAGTTGCATTATAGGCATCAATGTTGTTATCGATTGATGAATAGCTGTTCCCATACCTCGCCATCAGATGACGTCCGGGTGTTTGCGGACCGCATCTAATCAGTGATCAAATGATAGGCACTGTTATAGCTTTTGAGATATACGGCTGTTATATCTCGCATACAAAACACCCAAATCTAACCCCAATTATCATTTTATCCTCAATTTTGTGATCCCAAAAGTGTTGACCAAAATTAAAGCCTTTTTCTTGACTTTAATTTGTATTTAGTTTTTGTTTCAAAAAGTTTTTGAAAACTTTAATAACTTATGAATTATAGAAGAGATGCGAAAAGAAGAAGAATTAGTCAAACATTTGTTTTATTGAATCTAAAAATGAGGAATAAATGAAGGCATAAATTCATTACATGTTTTGTGATTATAATGTGTATTAAAAAATATATAAATGTATGAAAATTAAGCATAAAGTAAACAATTAACAGACATTTCACACGTTTCTCTCACTGTAAAGGCCGGGCTTTAATTACAGGCCAATTATGTGAACAAAACACACATGTGTTGTATTTGACGTTTAATTTGTGTCTAATTTTATGGATTAATGGATTATAAAAATTATTAATTCATTTATAAACTCGTTTTTTAGGAACACTTCAATTGCTTCTTCTTTTTTATACAAAATATTTACTTATATTTAATGAAATTTAATCTAAAATTAATAAATTATATTAAAAATTTACTCAATTATAAAGTTATAAACTGTGTTTTGTTTGGGGTATAAGTTATAAAAAGTTATAACGCTATAAAATATGCATTTTTTAAATTAAATAAATTTTTCAAAAATAAATTTATATAAAATTCTGTTATATTTGACAAGAATTGGTGTATTATTTGATAAACTGTCGGATGTTTAATGAGATTCTTGTCATCAAAATAATGTCAATCAGACGGGTGTCTGAACTTTTTGCGAATCATTATTATTAATACTATTAATCTTATTATTGATTTGTTCATCATTTCGGTCATCACTTCTCGAGTTGGTCTCGTCGTCCACTTCATCCACACCTATCTTACTGTCATCGGTGGCCAGTATTGGCTCGCGTTGTTCGCCGTCGTTATCATCAGTTTGTTGTTCAGTTGTTTTTCTCTTCTTATTGATTACCATTTTATCGCTTCTACTCCTCACTCTGTATAACAATATAACGGATATTATTGTCATTAATAAAAATAATGTTTGTTAATTGAGTGGAGAGAGAGAGAGAGAGAGAGAGAGAGAGAGAGTGACGGCGAACAACGCGAGCCAATACTGGCCACCGATGACAGTAAGATAGGTGTGGATGAAGTGGACGACGAGACCAACTCGAGAAGTGATGACCGAAATGATGAACAAATCAATAATAAGAGGGAGAGAGAGAGAGCTATAAAGAGTTAATATGAGATGATTACCTAATAATGATGACAACGATAGTAATGGCCAACAGAATGGCCACAAAGAATAGTATAATTCCTATACTTCCTGTCGACTCATTCTTTTTAGGATTAGTCGTGAAATTACCACTTAATTCAATGCTATCTTCTTTGAGATCTTCATTTTGTTTGTCACTTTTTGGATCAATTACTGAACCAATAGTTAATATAGAAGTAGACTCGTCCTCAACGCTGTGACGGACGGTTGGTTTTGACTTAATTCTGCATTTCTTAATGTAATCGCTTTGATAATCGCTGTGTTCATAGAAATGTTCACTACATTTGCAAACTTTCACACCATTGCTATTATCCCCGCAAATAGCGTTTGTATCAATTGCTGAGCACTGTTTCGTGTAATTACATGTTGAGCCCAACGACACTATTATGGAAAAGAAAGTCATTTAAATTAGAAATTCAAAACCATTTTTACATAAATATAAGTGTTGTGTAAAATTTCCAGACCTTCTTCTAAGCAAATGGTTTTTCGGTGGGTTTCAGGTATGGATACGAAGCCATCCTTACAAACACATTGTCTCTCGTTTTCGGATTCATTTTCGGTTTCGGGAGAACCGCACTCCATATGGCGCTCACATTCCTGGCCACCACTCCCTGTCCCACATCTCTCGCCGTATTTCACAACTAATAACAATATATACGATATTACAATACAAACGACAATTTGCTTTATTTTATTGTATAATTAGTTAATTTTGCCGTTTTTTCTAATTCTGTCTCTAATATCCTGTGTTTCAAGATTCAGTTCAAATTACTTATTATTTACAATAATTATGATAATTATTTAAATAATCGATAATATAATACATTATTTGCAGTGAATGACTGACATTTACTAAAGTGTTTAAAACAAAATATAAATTAATTTATTTTAATTTTATTCTTAAAACACCCAAAAGGAAACATTTTATATTTATTTTTTCTCAAATGAAATGTCATTAAAAATAAGTGAATTATTTTTTATCTCCAGACTCCGCAAGTGATGGACGGGAAGTGTTTATCTAAATATTTAAATAATGGCCATTATATCCATGTATAGATCACTCCAACTATTTTCTATAATTAACTATCAAAACATGAATGATATGCACAGGAATTATAAATTATAATAAATATTGTTTCAGAAAACTTATGCAAATTGTGTTTTACGATAGGGTTTAATGAATATATTTATATCTAGTTTTTTATATTCATTTGTTTAAATCCGTTCTTTCAATGCAAAACAAATTAAAGAAATTACTAAAACAGAGAGAACTTCAAGAAATGCATTCAAGAAATTCTCTATCACTCAAAATATTTTGGCAAATTGTGGGTAAAAAAAGTTTGTTTGAATGTATAATCAGTTTTAATATAGGAGTTGATCGGAAATACTTCGGAGTGTTGATAGAGTTTGCTTTTTTGGTGAGAAATTAAATTAGATTTTATCTGATTGTCTTTGAAGAGTGGGTTTGATTTATTAAATTCATTGCATTTAAACGTTGTATTAAATTTTTACAGACAAACCTAATCCTCGCATTTGAGGTCAAAAATCTTTTACTATAGTTTTTTTCAGTCAAAATATCCAAACCATTCTCTCACTCACAATATGTGCGGATATTTTTAATCATGTATTAACTAAACACATGTTAACATTTGCTATAATTTTAGTAGATTTGCATCACTCTTATGTCATATGATTTTCATAAAAATTTAGTGTAATATTTAGGCAAACATTGAGGAAAGTATACATTTAAATGATTAAATTATTTTTAATAAATCAAATTTTCTGACAAATACTTCAAAAAATACTTGAAATTCTTGAATAAATCTACGCTTAATATCAATTTCTCTGCATTTCAAATGGTTTTTATATGAAATGTAATTTAAATCAATTTTTTTCAATTAAAACCAACTCTTGATTGAAATAAGGAATAATTTATTTGATAAGAAAAAATAAATTATTTGATTAATGTATTGATAAATAACTGTTTGTTCACTACATCTATAAAAACCAATCGTTATAAAGAGCTTCTGATTAAATCACAAAAGAGTTTTATTTTAAAAAATTTTCAGATCATTTCAATGACCCATAATTTTAAAATAAATAAAACAATAAACAATCTCTCAGTTTGTCTGTCGTTTAAACTTAATTTTTCAACTATTTTCTTAATTAAAAACCAAGGCTTCAATTCTAGCATAAAATCAATTGTCAAAACATGCTTTACATTAGTGTCTATTAGATAATGTATTAATCAAAATATAATTCATTAATTTACCGACAAATCATTAGTTAATATAATTTGGAGTGAATTTTTATGTCAAAAACGCTGACTTGTTTTATTTAATAAAAAATTATTTCATTTACTATTTATTTAATCGATTTATTTAAGTAGTAATTGAGTTCAATATGAAATTATATCAATTTTTAAAGTAAATACTAATAATAATAAATCTTTAAATTCAAATCTTTATTGCTTTCAGATTTAATGCCTTAAGAAATATTTAATATATTTTATATATCACAACGTTTTTGGGAGACTTTTAATGTAATTTCATCACAAAATGACATAAATTTCTTAATAAAACCTAAAATGGGAGCTAATTATCATTTTTAAGAAATTAATAAATAATTAAAAACAAAACATACCATTTGTGAACGTAAGTGATCCGGAACTCTGGCACCGGACTTGAGTTCTGTCGATGGAGTTCCTTAACTGGTCGGCCACCTGACACAAGTATGTCACGTGACCGCTGTGTTGGATCAGATGCCCGATACTATTGGCCGAAACGGTGTATTCACTCCAACACCGATGTCTGGAGCCGTCACACGAGGCGTTACCCCTCAGAATGAAGACTCCAGTTCTCGGCGCCCCTCCGAACGACAGGTCGAATACGGGGTTCGAGAACTCCGACGACTCGGCCGTGAGTTTGGGGTCGAGAGTGGCCTCACATCTCACGGTAATCGGCGACTCTTCAAACCTTTTAGCGATCAACTGATTTGGCACTAAACTGACTGAACATAACTCCTCTTTCGTTAGGGGAGCGCATGTTATCATTAAAACACTAATTAAAACGTGTAAATATATTAATACACTATTAATTAAGACATTATATCGTTTGTCAAACATTTTTGCGACAAATTTTTCGCAATTATATACGACTTCTTTCTGAAAAGTTCACTACACGTTAAGAGTGAAAGTTATTTGACATTTGAAATAATTATAACTTATTTAATGGCAACAAAATCTATAACATTTGAAATGTTAATTTTCTTCACAAACTCTCGACACAGAACTTCTTCATTAGGTTTTGAAGCACTTGTTGTGAATTTTCATCATTAAGTTGTGCAGCAAATAAAAAAACGTAAACTTTTCTAAAGTGAAAGAAAAAACTAAATCAAAGCGAAGACGTGATCAGAATTTTGGGTTCAATACTGAAGAGTCAGTTGTGTTGTTGTACTGAGAAGTCGTGCAATAAGTTATTGAATACACGAATAAGTTCTCCGAAAAAAACGATCTTAAAAAACAAGTTGAGAGCAATCGGTGGGCGCTTCTCCTCTCGCAGGCACTCAAACCGTATGACAGACTCCGCGAGAAAGAGTGTAATTCTTATGTATGTCTCTGCCCTTGGAATGAATGGCTTTAATGTCTAATATAAATACCAGTTTAAACAGTTTACAATACAATATGTTTTAGCCCATTGACACAAATGCATGTTTTGATTATGAAAAACCGCACAACTCTTCGGCAGTAAATTAGAGCTCTTTTTACAATATTCCCATCTCTTCTCATAAGTCAGTCGCTCTTTTCCATCTCTCCCTCTCTTTTCTCTCACTCTTCTCCTCTTTCTTCAATAAAATATCTCATAAAACAATGTATTCATGAATTCCAACCAAATTTTACGCTTAAAATGTTTTGGCAAAACACAATTTCAGACTACAAATGGTTATGTAATGCCATTTGAATTGTTTACTGACACTTGATTTTTTCAGTCATATTTCATATCGCGATTCAAATAACCATTTATTTCACACAAAATGTAAATTCTATTGAAAAATGAAATAAAATCATTCAATAGATATAGAGTTAAAGCGTAAACCGTTTTTCCAAATAATTCACTTTTAAGCACAAGTCATAAAAATTGTTTTCTTTATCCGAAAATATTTTCTTCTCTGATTTTTAAGAATTACAAACAAAAATCATTACTATTTGTAGTGAAAAAAGTGTTGATTTAAATCATAATTTATATGCTTTAGTGCTATTGAAACTTACATTTCCTAAACACTTAATCATAGTATTGAAGGTAAACTAGTCTTTCAAAGCTGTTTAAATATTATACAACAATTCCAGCAGTCATTGTGTTTTAGAGACACATAAATAGTATTAGAGTTATTCATTATATCAGAATATAATACAACTGCAGATACAGTGAGGTATGACTGAACGCAAAACACATGAAACCAATAATTAAAACAACAAAAAAGACAATATTTAATTCACATATATTTTTCCTATCATTCACTTCATAATAGTATTTATAATATTCTGTTCACCAAAAAACCAGTTTATTTTTGCCGAGTATTGTATTTGTATTAATCCTTGGGATTCAAATCGCAGTCATTTGCAGACAATAGTAAACGTAGGCTTTGAGAGATGCGGAGACAATATTTCTCAATTAAGTAATTGTTTTCAATTAAATAACATTTGTTTCCGCTTTTGGCTTATTATTTATACAAATAATTGAATATTTGAATCGTGTGTAGAGCCGATCGGTTGCACCCAATATATACTACAATGAGATTAAGTGTTTCCTAATTGTTAAGACAAATGAGTGAATGATTTACTTGAATGAGGTCTTTGATGAGGAGGAATAACATCACTAATTGTTTGGTCACGAATTATACGAATATATCAACATTTATCACTATATATGCGATAAATTGTGGTTTTATTGGCAGTCATTTAAATTGTTAAATACACTAATATTTAGTAATTTATCAAAAAAATGTGTTGTTTTGCAAATGATTTTACCTGAAAAACTACTTTCTCTCGTTTACACACTAATAATAAACAGTAATTTTATTGAATGAACGCATAATTAAGCAATAAATGTGTCGGAGTTTTAATAAACTTTATTTTCGTATTAAATTTCTGAATATTTTCTTTCAATTAGTGTTTAAAGTCTTACTAAAAGCCTATAATTAAGAATAAATTATAATAATTTCTAATAATAAAACTTTAATTAAATTACGAAGATATCCAATATGTGCTTCAATGCCGTCACGATATAAGAGTTAAAAAGTTTAACTCAAAACATTAAAAACCATTTTTAAATGACAAATCGATAAATTATTCAAATTATTCAGATTTTAGCTTATATTCAATAAAAGGGAAAACTTGACAAAACAATTAAATTATTGGTTAGGATTTGTTTATTTTATTGTTATTTAATTTGGTTTTATTCCTACAATAAATTCATGATAAAACTGTTAAAACTCTCCTCCAAAGGGTTTTTCTGCTGTTTTGGGAAAATAGGACTTTCGGTAATCACAGCAAAGGCTGTGTTTAAATGAAAATACAAATAAAAGCCTCTATTATATGGCATAAGAGCTCTTGAATACCTCCAGAACAGGACTCGAAAATGTTAATTAAGTTTAAGAGCGACTTATTTGGCGATATCTTTATAGTCGAAAACAATTGAAAACTTCTCATTCAAAGAAAACAACTTTATTATCAGTCAATACACACAATAGTCTGTGTAATAAGGGTTTAGTGTAAATAATAGGGAAACAAATTGAAATACAAAAATTGAAATTCTGTTTTTATTGAAAAATTTACATTCACTCAAAATTTGTTGTTTAAAAACTTTTTTATATACAAAAAACTCAATTCATATAACAGTTATAACCAATAATAAAAGAAAAGCCTAACAAATGGTTTGCCAGTTCTGTATATAACTGTATATTCCTGTCTATTACTCTGTGTTAATACTATTGAATATAATATAAAAATAATATTTTCATTTCAATTCAAATGAAATTCTATTTTTGTATTACTTTTTTAGTTTTAATATAACATAACATACATTAGAAATTGCAGCCAAATGTAAGTTTACTGACATATTTGAATGCCTGTCATTCAGTCATTTCATTTAAAAGTTTTATTTTGTTTGAAACGAATTTTGTTTTGTGTGTTAAATGATATTCTTGTTTTGCCACAAAAAGACAAGGCATTCAAACGCATAAATTATAAATTAAATATATATAAATTTATATTACATTTTCCGAAACAAACTTTTATATGATTATTATGTGTCAGAATACAGTATATGCTCACAAAATTTTAATGAAATTTATATTTTCCACAAATTCTTTAGTCAAAAAAATTTTAATTTTTGTTTTCATATAAATTATTTCAATGTCTAAATGAGTTACGAATAATATTTTGATTTAATTGTAATAACAGACTCCAGTTTTGATGAAAAATTATTTTTTTCTAACATTAAGTAAATATTTCTCAACGATTACCTCATTTATTAGCTAATTATCGATTACACTATCGATTGATTATTGCTTAGAGTTTTCAAAATGAAAAATTGTTTAAAAATGAGAAATTCAACGAAAGAAATTAATAACGAATAACGAATAATTAATCGTTTCATTAAATGTCTTATAAAATCTATGTTATATAATACGGACACTAATCATATGTTTTCATTTATTTTTAATAAGTGCTTACAATTCAAAGATAATGAAAAGCTTTCAAAACAATTCAAACTTTTTTGCCGTCAATATTATTAATGAACGGTATTTTGTCATTTCCTAACAAACAATACATGATTACAACAACTTTATAATTAGTTTCTAAAATATTTAAGTCTATCATAAGTTATGTATAAATATTTAATAATATTTATAACATACATGATATATCCTATGAAAAAAGTGACAAATCTTATTCTGTATATGCAATACATGTGTGCATACAATGACATAAAAAATTCTTGAGAAAAAACTTCAACAAAACAAACATATAATTAATTTCTAGCGTTTCGTTCAATATTGACATTTGAAGATATATTTGGAAAATAATTAATTATTTTTTTCAATTAAAATAGCGCTTAAAAAGTCAATCATTTGTATTGAATGTGTGATAAAGAATGCGTTAAACAAATTCAATGCTCAAACTTATGGGACACACAATCGCTGCAAACATTGCATTCAATTCATTAAAAAACTTGTTTTTATTTTTCTCTCGAAAACACTTGAAAAGCGACACCTTTTGTGTAAACAACCACTCAATACATAATTACATCAATAGTGTTGTAATCACTTTATTATACA